CACGGAAAAAACATGATTATTTCACTGCCTACTGGCGCTGGAAAAACGCTTATCGCTGAGGTTTGCGCATTTTTTTTTGCAAAATTTTACTATTTTTACTGTTTTTCTTAAATTTAAGCCCGTCACATCCACGTAAATCCTTAGTTCAGCTCCACCCATCTGCTCATTATTTGGAGATGTGCAGCTTAGGATCGAAAGGCCTGGCCTACTTAACCAGGAGCATCTACACAAGCATCGCCTAACAATTTTTGCATTTTTTGAATAATTATTTATAGATTTTCTGTATAATTTATAGATTTTGCATAATTTTTTATTGATTTTTTGCATAATTTATAGATTTTACATAATTTTTTATAAATTAAAAACAAAAATAGCATAAACAAAAGACAATGTTGCAAATGTTTTTTTTTTTCAATTTACAAAATAAAAGATTTTCCAAAAAATAACTATTTTTCCGACAGATAATTTGGAATTTTTCCGTTTTTACGTAGTACCATTGCAGGTTTCGATGTTGCGCGAAGTGATGCTACGACACAAAAGTTGCATTTTTATTGTTCCGTACGTTGCTATTGCACAAGAAAAAGTAATTTTTTCTTGTGATCTCCTGCTTTTTCCGCATAATTCGGCCATATCTCGTATTTTAGATGAAAAATGACGGATTAATTGAGATATAACATTCCTTTCAAAAACTTGGTAGAAGGTCAGAATCTATTTTTGATGGTTTAGATTTTTTGTAAGGCTCTGAGTGGACGCATAGAGGAATTTATTTCTTGTTATTTGCTTGGGACTTTTGCATTTTCCCAGCCAAATGAATAATCTCGAGGAGGGATTATTGTTCACTAGTACGGGGGATCTCAAAGATGGAAGCTTCGCCGCACACGCTTGTGCTGCGTGTACGATCACGTCAAAGTTTGCACCTAGAACTGTGCTAACTCGAAAACTAGCCAGAAAACAGTGACTTTTCAGTGAACTGGAAATTTGCATTTTTGGAGGGTTAATAGTGCCGAAAATTTTTGTCCCCAAGTTGTCGAGCCTCAATCGTTTTCAAATTTAGGTTCGCTCACTTTCGCTTTTCGAGGATACGTTCGGCATATGCGTCGAGGAATATGCAGCACATAAAGGTTTGTGTCCTGCTTTTGCGCTTTTTTTTTGTGTTTTGGGCAATGTCCAATTTATTTCAAATATTTCATTTTGCTTTTTTGCTTATATAGTTAGTCAGGTAAGCAAAAAAATCTCTGTCATAGCAAATCGATTCTATCTCAGCGGGGCGTCGTACAGAATTTCTTTTGATATGGGAAAATATTTTAAAGACAACGGCAAAACCTCCTCCATCGAGGTTTGTTACGATTTCTTTTTGAAATTTTTTTAAACCTCTTTAAATTTTTTGCCTATGTCTTCGGCATCTTCTCCCACCTCTCCCTTCCCCCTTTCCATCAGTTTCCATCTTCTTCCCTTTTCTTCTTCCTTTTTCCTGCTTATCCGGCTTTCTTTACTTTTTTCCCTTCTTTTTTCTTCTTTCGTCTTCCTTACGCACTGCGACCGTCATACTATCACGAGGTCCAGTCGCAGTGTGGAGTTAAGACGTATGTGACTTAATGGACCGAAACGTCTTTTCTCAGTCTCACCACCAACCTTCGTTACTTTCTCTTGCATTTGCGCATCCCCCCATCTGCACTTCCAGGGTTGACCTGGAAGCTGCAATCTACAAGGAAGAAGAGGACAGGAGAAAATAATATTATGAAATTAGTTGAAATAAAATATTATAAAATAGTAAGAAATGTTTCGGTCCATTAAGAGTCGTATACATTTCTTACCATTACCACAACTGGACCCCTTGTCAGTACAACGACTGCGGTAATTTTTGAAATCACACAAAAACCTATAATTCATTGCACAAGAAATAATTCGGAAGTATAACTCTTGTTTGCTTTATTAATAATTGGTGGGCATCACATATTGTCAAGAATTATACACATGAAAAAATAAAGGATAGTGAAATTGGCACTTGGAGCACAAACTTTGAACAGGTGTTGGGAACTGGTAGAGGTATTGTTATGTCCGTTGTGACACACGTCGAGTTCGATTTTTATTAGTCCAACAGAAAATATCAACACTGGTAATTATGGAGCTCCGAGTCTGTGATTCTTCGGTTGGTGCTGACCCGGGTACCACGGTCAGCACCGTTCGTCCGGTCTTCACACTCCACGTTCCTTGAGCCGCTGTCGAAGCTGCTGCTGGGGGAGATGTCGATCCTTCTTGTGTCGGCCGCACAGTCCTGTCGATCGCCAACACACTGCCCTAAACTTCTCCAGTCGATCTACGCTCCAGATCCGGATTGTGCGCTGGAACGTTCTCGAAAGGGGAGAGCAAGATCTCTTGCTTCAAACAGGTATACAGCTCAGAACTGAAGGACCTCGCATAGCTACGCTTAATGTTAGGGCTGATATCCCTACTTTTTGGTTTCTTTTGAAAGATTTCTGACAGCTTACCAATATTTTGAGTTATTCATATTGAAAAACAGCAAATGTTTATAGGGCGTTTACCACCAATCAAACGTCGTGGAAAGCAATCAATTTATGTTGCTACAATTGAGAAAGCAAATATGCTGGTTAATAGTTTGATTGAAGAGAATCGAATCGAAGAAGTTGGAGTTGTTGTTGTCGATGAGGTTTGTGTGTATTTTTCTTATTTTTTATATAATTTGTATAGTTTCTTTTTTTTTTTTTTGTAAATTGAGCGATGATTGTAATTTGGCGCATTATGCGCTTTTTTAATAAGGAATTGTAGATACATAGTATACAAATATTTCAGTACACGTGGAGGACTATTGTGTTAAAATATAATCTTTTGGCTTT